ATATAGAAGATATGTTTTTTAAATATAATTATTAAATTAATTCTTTGTTAATTATAAGATCTAATTTACATGAAATATAATGTTTAAAATTATATTTCAGAAAAAAACATCATAAAAATGGAACCTGAAATGGAAAAGTTTGAAATTACTGATTGGGATCTGGAAAATGAATTTAATCCCAATAGGATAAGACGACCTCAGTCTAAACATAAGCAGATTTATGGAATTTGGGCTGATGATGACAGTGATGATGATCGACCCAGTTTTGGTAGTAAAGGCAAAAAAGATCTTTCTGCTCCAATTAGTTTTATTAGTGGCGGTATTAAAAAATCTGGTCAAAAAGAAGAAGAAAAAGATGGCGATGATGATGATGATGATGAAAATTCAACCTCAGATGAAGATACTGTACCAGTACCCCAAAAATCTAGGTATTATCAAAGAAATTCGTTTTCTGGAAAATCATTATTAGGAATGAGAGGTGTTGACATATCTGATAAAGAATTTGGAGGGTGGGAAAAGTATACTAAAGGAATTGGAGCTAGACTCTTATTGCAAATGGGTTATCAGCCAGGCAAAGGTTTAGGAAAAGATCTGCAAGGAATAACAACTCCAATTGAAGCAAAACAAAGAAAAGGTAAAGGAGCAATTGGACTTTATGGACCAGAACATAAGCATAAACCTACAGCAGCTGCAGATATTGAAGAAGAAGAAAAAGAACCAAAGGTATTGTTACATCAGTGGAAGAAACAAGATGGTGAATCACGTAAAACAAAATATGTTTACAGAACAATTGATGATGTCAAATCTGACAGTATTGGTAAAAAGTTTCTTGGTGATCCCAGCAAACTGAGCAAGGTAAAAGTAATAGATATGACAGGCCCGGAACAGAGAGTGTTTGCAGGTTATCATCAAATTCATCAACAGCATAGTAAACCAGAGGAATGGGAAGATACTGATAAGAAAAAAGAAAGAGGACATCATTTTTCACTCCCAGAACTTCAACACAATTTAGCATTATTAGTTGAAATGACAGAACAAGAAATTATTCGTAATGACAGACAGTTATCTCATGAAAATGACTATATAGTTAATTTGAAACATGAAAAAGAAAGACTAGCAAAAGTTATGGAAGATGAAAAGAAACAAATTGAAACTTTAAAAAGTGTAATGTTGGTAATTGATGAACTGAATGACAGAAATAAAAATGATTGTGAAAATCCTTTAACTATTGAATCAACCTTGGAAGCTCTGAAGAAACTTCAGCAAGAATTTTATGAAGAATATGTCATGTATGGTTTAAATGATATTTCAATTGCAATTGTATATCCCCTAATGAAGAAACATTTAGAATCATGGGATCCTTTGAAGGATCCTTTATTTTCAATAGATTTATTTAAAGAATGGCAAAATTTATTAGAAATTCAAGGTTCTCATTCAGGCAAATTATCTGGTGGAATAGATGAAGATTTTGATCCATATCATCAGCTCATGTGGATTGTATGGATGCCTTGTGTACGTAAAGCTTTCCTTTCGTGGAATGTTCGACAATGTGATTCTGTGATTGAACTACTTGAAAATTGGATGCCGCTCTTACCTGCCTGGATAATGGATAACATTCTTGAACAATTAATTCTTCCAAGATTGCAGAAAGAAGTTGAAGATTGGAATCCTTTAACTGATACCATGCCAATTCATGCTTGGTTACATCCATGGCTTCCGTTAATGGGAAACAGATTACAACCATTATATGCTCCTATACGCAATAAATTAGCTCATGCTTTGACTAATTGGCATCCTAGTGACTGCTCTGCTAAATTAATTCTTGAGCCTTGGAGAGCAGTTTTTCCACGTGGGACAATGGAATCATTTGTTGTAGCTAATATTGTTCCAAAGTTAGCTTTAGTTTTACAGAACTTTATCATAAATCCACATCAACAACATTTAGATGTTTGGCACTGGGTAATGTCATGGGAAGATATAATACCTTTACCAATCATGGCAAATTTACTTGAAAAGAATTTCTTTCCACATTGGCAGCAAGTGCTATGTGCTTGGTTAACTCACAACACAAATTATGAAGAAGTTACAAAATGGTATATGGGATGGAAATCAATGTTTTCAGAAGCTCTCTTAAATTATCCACTTATTAAAGAACAGTTTAGACGTGCATTAGATATTATGAACAGAGCTGTAACATCTCCACAAGGATTACTCAGTTATCAACCAGGAGCTAGAGAAAGTATTGCATATTTAAATAATGTAGAAAGACAAGAAATGGATAACCCACCTGACAGAACCAAAAGAGATTATGATTCAATTGCTCAAGCAATTAGAGGATCATCATCTGCTGCTTCTCTTTCTATGAATTTTAAAGATCTTATTGAAAAGAAAGCAGAAGAAAAGAACATTATATTCATGCCTATACCCAATCGTTTTCAGGAAGGAAAACAAGTGTATCGATTTGGGCAAACCCTTTTATATCTCGATAGAGGTGTAATATTTGTTTTTAATGAAAAAACATGGGTACCAACTTCACTGCAGACATTACTGGACACTAATTAAAAACTATTTTATGTCTTTAAAAAACAAAATTATTTAATTTTTTTTGTTTATTACTGTATATACTGTATATCACTGATAATACTTTAGTCCAGTATTATCAGTGAATATATTTTTATCTTAGAAGTATTGCTATTATAAAGTGTGTATTTATACATATATTTCATAAAATTAAACATAATTATTCAGTAAATGCATCACACTGATGTATAACTGGTTAGTTAATGTGGTTTCAAAAGATAATTGATGAAAAATTTTGTAAAAACCATCACCAATATTATTTGGCATAGTAATTACGATGCCCACTGTAAATTTCTTTTTCATGTCTAATGCAATCAATAAATTTGTTGATAAATATCCAAATTATATTGCCCTAAATGTAAAAGTTTTAGATACAGTAGTTAATTAACAATAAATAATTTTTAAAAAAATTAAAAATTTTAGATGGTATATAGTATTATTAGATGGTACCAATGGTTTCCAAAGTGGGCAGTGAGTAATTCTAGGGGGGAGAAAAGAAGCAAATAGGAGGCAGGCTACTGACAAACAATTAGCATAGGCAAGAGTTGTGGTTACTGGTAACCTTTTTGTTTCCTGTTAAAATGAGTAAGAAGAAATATTGTGTTTAATAGTTTTCAGATGGAGAACAATGCACAGGAAGGACAGTGGGAGGTTGCTAGAGAAGTTTTTCTAAGAATTCCAAGCCTTTCTCTAAACGTAAGGGGGGCATTGGGTATAAGTTTATGGATCCAAAGGAGCAATGGCTCAAAAAAGTTTGAGAATCACTTGTATATACAGTTGAACTTTATGTATTCATTTTTGAAGGAAACAGAAATATGTGAGAGAAAAAAGTGAAATTACTTTTGAGTTGCTTTCAGAACAAATAGTTGTCACAAAAGTACTCTGAGACACAAATTAACACTACACTGAAGTTTGTACATGTAATTCTTAGCAAATTTAATTTACTGCAGTATAATACATTTGAACATGTAAAAAGAAAAGTAAAACAATGCAATTAAGATATACTTTTAAGAAACTGACAGTTTTATTATTGTTTTTTTTATACTTGTCACACACTGGTATGGTATATACTGTACAATGTTTCCAGGTAGAATGATTGAAAATCAAATATGGAGTTGAAAAGTTGTCAAATTTTTACCAGTTTGGATAATACTGTTTTTAGTCATTTCAAGGCATTTAACATCAAATAAATTGGGAAATGCACATTATTCTTTTATAAAATGCAACTGTTATAAGTCCATCTTATGGGGAAAATGCATTATCAAACAATGGAGCATTTTCTCATAAAATTGCACTTAAAAAAGCATTTTTTTTTTTTAAAGGAAGATATTTTCATTTTATAGTTTATGCTAGATAATGCTACCGAATAAATATAATTACCTGTGCTGTGCGCTAGGTATTGTGAGCAGTTACCAATAATTCTGTGTGAGAGGAATAATTACGGCTGTATGCAAAAGCAAACAAGTCCACTCTAAACAATTGCTGGAAAAATGCAAAAAACTGTTATTGAATTTATTTTACACCTCACACTTGTAAAAATGTATTATTTTTTTTTCATTTTTTATCTAACATCAATATTTGAAGGCGGTTTTTGATAGGAATATAGTTAGTATTAATTATATGACATCAAAATATGAACATGTTTCTTTTTGCTTGGACAGGGGTTTTTTTTGGCATGAACTGTGTTAGGATATGTTTTCTTTTGCCTGGCCACTATATTCTTTTTCACTTTGTTATACCGGCTAGTACTTTGACTTGTCAAAAAAACATGGATTTTACAAAGTAGGGATGAACAATAAATGTCTTCACCCAAATAATCACACGGGTTCCATTATTTTCTTCTTTTTCTGAGTTATCTGCTTCAAGCTTGGTTCTGTTTCGTAACACTTGTTATACCTTGAAAAACTTTCATCATTTAAAAGTGATTCAATGTATTTTTTCTTGGCAGCTGACAGTGTGTGCCCTACAGGTAGTTGCTCGACTGGCTCCTCAAATTCATCCGAATTTGAGGAGTCAGTCGAGCTCGGATCTGAATCAAATTCGGATGAATTTGAGGAGCACTGTATTTTTGTATTTTCTTCTTTGTTCCTACTCCAACAGTTTTAGGTTTCTTTCTAGATCCAACATTGCCGCCTTCAACACTTATCAAACCGTCTTCATCAATTTTCACTCAATTATAACACTGAAATACACTGTATAATAAAATGTGTACTAATAAACAACATTTTAACATCAAAATCTCTGTTCCAACAACAACAAACAAAACCACCTGTTGTATTCTGGAAGTCACGTGACTCAATCATAGCTCTTCATTGGCTGAGGCAGACTGCAATGGATACGTTTGTTCTGCTTGGAACATGTGTAGAGAGATGTTCTTTTTTGCACAGAATGTTGATTTTCAAAGCTCAAAAAGTATTGGATGCATATTTTTTGAATGAAACCGACTATGACAGTAGATAGGAATGAGGCTGAAGGGAAAAAAAACAATTATAAATTGATTTTTGTGGATTTGTTTTAGAATTGTGCATTGCACCTCCACAATTATAAGATAACTGCACCCACAATTTTTTGTTTTCATAAATCAGATATCGTATTTTATATTGTAAAAAGTGCTTATTTTGCTGACTCCAACTATATATTAAACAAGCCTGAGCGAATATACTTTTTTTTTCGAGTCGAATTCGAATCAGCACGTGGTTAATGTTCCACTTTATTCTTAAATTTGGTTTTTTCTAAAGTTGGAATCGCATTCGTTAAGTTTTGTTGTTCTATTCTGCATACGTTCGAATTCCATATAACCGTAGCCTGATGAAGACCCAGATGGGGTCGAAAACGTTCGCTGGTGTGTAAACTCATATCAATGGAGTTACAAAGGTTTTTTGGATGTGGTGAGTTGTATTTCCTCCGGTGTTTACGAAGAGGTTCATTTCTTCGAATTCGAATAATTATAAATAATGCACGAAATCTAGGAGGACGACTAATCTTGATATAATTGGAGACTAGGCCGCCCAGGTCGTGTTATTACTGAAGATTGAAACTTTTTCGACACCCTTAACGATGTTAACTATTAATTATACTGCCTCCTCATTATTTTTTAATTAAAAAATTATTTTAACGCTACAGTTTTGATTCTTAATATTTGTTTGAAAGTTTATAGCGCAGAAATGTGTATAGTTTTCGGAAAGAATAATAATAATAGTTCACTTATTGCTCGTAAACAGGCCCGTCTTTGGTACTGTACGTGCTAGGCTATAGGCTAAGAAAAGCTTGGAGGCCCCTTAAATTCGTAAAGGAGGGTTACTGTTCATAAATTTTTTTCAATTATCTTTCTCTGCTAAACATAGATATGTTTGTTATATTTATACTGTATTTAATAAAATTTATCTTTTGATTGCTTACTGTTTACAATAATTTTATTACTTGTTGCTCTATTCAATTTTGCATATTTTCGAGATCTCGAAAATATGTAAAATTGGATCCTGGGCCCGGTAGGCCCACATCTAAAGATGGGCCTGCTCGTAAAGCAATCATTTACTGTATATTAATTCATAATAAATTTATAAAAGTTAACGAATTTTAATTTAGAAAAGCAAACTTTGTGATTTCAAATTTTAATATTTTGTAAGTTTGCCGACTTCCTGGGGGGAATCGTTAATCCCGCGTCAGAATGATCTAGGGTCGTACGCGTGTGGATGTGGCAGAGGAGACACAGATGACAAGAATCTCACAAAAACCCGTTTATTTTAAACATAAAATTAAACTCACACTAAGGAACAAATATTGTCCAGATACAATCGGCTGTTTGGACGCCGATAGCGTCGATGCTCCTGTAGTAGTTTATTGCTTAGGCGGCCTCGAGGCAGTCAGTGCCGGCCCGAGGCAAGTTTTAGGATGGAGCGAGATCCTATTATGGCGCCCCTTGGTTGCCCTTAATTTATACCAGTGATGCATGCCAGCAAGTAACTTGGAAGATCTCGACAACATCCTAATTAAGTACTGTATCTGTCTAATTTGTCGATTGAAAACAGCCGTACTCGTGGGCACTGAACTCGTGGGCACTGAACCAATAGGAACAGTTCATATAGAATGAAAAAAAATATGTAGGATTAAGGTACATTTATTTATCACAAATATTATTTTTATAATGGGATCACTCATTATAAAAATTATTTTACTAACTAGTAAAAGAAAATTCAGTCAACAACATTCATTGATAAGATCAATAAGCATAATCGTTTTTGGTTCTGGTATTTATTTATTATGTTCACTAATTAATGTAACGATACTTATAAAATTTTTAACTATTTAGGCTACAGGCTCCTAATAATAATAATAATAAACTACTTAAATCACCCGGAGAACAAATTTTATTTAAATCGCTGCTTACGATAATGTCTGAGCTATATCATTTTCAATGGACAGCAAGGCTAGATCAGAAAGCTTGTCTTCTGCAAGAGTCGACCTAAGGTACAGGTAACCCCCGTATAACACGGCACTTCTATAGCACGGATTCACTCTGACACGGTTCGAAAAATGAGTAAAACCCTCGTACAACATGAAATGTAATAAATTTTTACATACTTAAGTAATAATAGTTCACGAAAATTATTATTTTCGTGAACTATTAGTACTTAAGTATGTAAATTTTCTTTTCTCGTCTCCATACACATGATCCTTCGCGAAAATTGTTTCAATGTTGCCAGATCTCGACGCTTCTGCTTCTG